TCTATTCTATTCTATTCTATTCTATTCTATTCTATTCTATTCTATTCCATTCCATTCTATTCTATTCTATTCTATTCTATTCTGGTCCGTTCTGGTCCGTTCTGGTCTGTTCCGTTCTACTCTATTCATCCAATTCTACCCCACCCCACCCCATCCCATCCCATCCCCTCCCCTCCCATCCCATCCCATCCCATCCCATCCCATCCCACCCCATCCCATCCCATCCCATCCCATCCCCTCCCATCCCATCCCATCCCATCCCCTCCCATCCCATCCCATCCCATCCCATCCCATCCCATCCCACCCCATCCCATCCTATCCCATCCCATCCTATCTTAGGATTTGGTTCCTTTTCTCTCCCTTGTTCCCATTACATGGACACGCACCCCAGCTGATTTTCATGTTCACAGTGTCCCCAGCCACGTACTCCTGATGTCCCCGCGGTGCCCATGGCCACTGGGCAGCTGCTGAGCCTTGTTGTGCTTGCAGGTCGGGCTCTGCTGAGGCTCAATGGGGAGAAGCTGCAGCGTATGGGCATTGCCCACGAGGCGCAGCGGCAGGAGGTGCTGCAGCAGGTCCTGCAGCTCCAGGTGCGTGAGGAGGTCCGGAACCTGCAGCTGCTCAGCCAAGGTAGGATTGGGACAGGAAGGGGAACCATGGGGAGATTGCAGCTGTGGGAACAAGGAGAGAAGTGGGTGTGTGAGCTGGAGCATGATGAGATGGGCATGGGCTGTGCTGCTGGGGGATGGGTTGTGGGGTACAGGCTGCAGTGCACAGGGATGGGTTGTGGTATGCAGCACAAAGTCTGTTGGTGGCAAGGTGCACTGGAAGGGTGGGATTCTCCCAGGCAGGCTCCGACCCTGCAGGCTGTTCATTCCTTCCTCTCCCCTCCTTGTTCCAGCGTCTTTCGGAAATGTCTCCTAGCTGATCCGTCTGTTTGGCAGATTGTACCAACACTGTGAACCGAGCAGCTCTGGGATGGACTGTGCACTGCAGATACGAGACCTGAGCAGCATGCTTGGAATACGAAGAGACAGCTCCCGAGCCACTCCAGGGCTTTTCTCTTTCTTCTCTCTCTTTCTTTTTTATGAATACATTTCTGGGCAGAGATGGGATGCTTTCTTCAACAGACGTGGTTCCCAGCTGGAGGAAAATTAGCAAAGCAGTCGGTGGGACAGGTGAACTTTGGCCCGTCTGAGCCTGACGGGAGAGACTGCAAAAAGAACCAGGGCTGAGCAGTGTGGGCAACTCCAGCACGGCCATTTGTGGGATAAACAGGAGCTGCACATGGGATGCTGATGCCTCTGCACACGAGTGGTGCCCAGTGCTTGGAGCGGCTGGGAGAGCTGCGGGCTCTGCTGGTGTCAATGCCTTGGAGCTTCGTTCTCCTTTCGAACTGGGCTGTCTTCCAGTGTCCTAGGAGATAACGTTATCGGCAGCGAATAAGATGACCCAACCAGGCAAAGAAATTAAAAGCAGGGCAGTCACCAGTGCCTGGCTCCACTTTGTGAATTAAAAAGGGAGCTGAGTCAGCAGCAGTGGAAGCCCAGGGGTCAGCACGTTCCAGGGGATGCTGCACAGGAGATGCTCCACGTCCTTTCTCTGTCCTCATCCACATGCCTGGTTCCCTGCTCTCTGGTCCCAGGCTCTATTTATTCCTTCCCAATGCTGCCCAGGCTTTGTCCAGGCCCTTCTGCAGAGGTCTACCCCTCCAGAGCTCTTGCAAACTCCCAACCCTTCAGGGGGCTTTGACAGTGCCATCCATACCAGCACCGTCCCCAAATCCCAGCTGATGATTGAAAGGAGGTGACATTTCTAGTTGCATCCCCCAGTGCCCAGGGACACCCCAGGGCTGTGGCAGAGCAGGCACCCAGGTGGCACCGCGCACCACCTCCTGCTCTGCAAATAAAGTCAGACTGTTGTTTCCATTTGCTGCTCTCCTACTCGTCCTGTGATTCTGCTCATTCCCTGCCCCCCAGCTAGGGAAAACAAAGTGAAAGATTTCAGCCACTGAGTCAGGGAATATCCCAACACCGTCCCTGTGGGAGCACTATGGTGTGTGAATGGAGATACCCCCCCTCCAGACATGGGGCTGCTCAAGGACTCATTTGCAGGGACCCCACAGCCCTGGGGGTTTGCTGCTCACTGCCCCTTTCCCTCCTCCACATACACAGAAATCTGAATTTCCTCCTCCTCTGCTGATATTGACCTTTTTAGAAATGCAGTGAAATTGGCTCTTCTCACCTCGCTAGAACTTCACAAGCAACAAAGCTGAGCAGATTTATTGAATTTTAGAAAAAAGAAAGAAAACAAGCAGGAAGAAAACCATCCCTCCTGCAGCAGCAGGGAGCTGCTGGGACTCCCAGCTGGAGCAAAACACAGTGTGTGGTGCCTGATCCCGGCCAGTTCAGGGTGCATATTTGCTCCTTGCTGTGCTGTCATGCAGAGCAAAGCCCCGTGCAGAGCAGAGCCCCATGCAGGATGTGGCCCCATTGCTTCTGCTGTGAAACCCCAGATCAGAGCCCACCATGCTGCCACCCCAGCCCTGGCACTGGGCACTGGGACAGGGTGGCAGTGGGTGGCTGGCAGTGGGTGGCTGGCCCCATAGGAGCAGTGTCCTGGAGCAGACCGTGGTGGCAGGGCTGGAGATGTGGGTGCAGTATCGTTAGAGCTGAGATTTTGCTGAGCTGAGATTTAAGCTCTGGAGAGGTGAGGGGGCACAATGGCTTCTGTTGTGTTGTACCCAAGTGGTCTGGGGGCAGTTTTGCTGTCAGAGGGTCCCTCGTTGGGACCCCAGCTCCAACTTCGTGTGCCACCTCCACCCGTGTCAGGCTATGCTCCAATTCCCCTTCTGCAGCCAGAGACCCGCTGAGCTGATGGAAGCCAAAAGCAAACCCCACATCAGGGCTGCACACCCCATTCTGCCACTGCTCTGCTATTTCTGCATCTGGTGCAGCTGGAGCGAGCTGAGCGTTCTCCAAGGCTGCATCGGAGCACGGGTCCGCCTCTGGGCAATCATCTGGCGCCCTCTAATGCCTCTGCGTCCTAAGTCCCAGCGTCCCATACCCGAAGAGGACCGGGGCCGGACCCTGCTGGGATGCAACCGGAGCTATTTCCTTGCTCTCGGCTATATTGTTTGCAATAAGCAGGACAAAGACCTACTGGGATAAAAAATAACGGGCAGCTTTTTCTTGCTTTAAAAAGGAAAAATGCAGCAATCCCTTCCCAGTGGTGGAGGCTGCTTGCAGATTGCAGCAAGGCTTCGCAAGCAAAAAGAAATTGTCAACACCGACACAGTTGCACGTAGCAAATGCATGCCTAATTTGTCCAAGTAATTACTGTGCCTGCCTTGATGATACAGATATCTTCAGAACTGAAATGCTGCTGATTGCCTCTCTGATTCAGGAAGCGATCTCCCAGCATTCACATTCATGCTTGGCTACAGCCACAGCCGCAGATATCCCTGCTGCGTGCAGCTATGGGACGCTGCTGATGGATTTCAGTGCCTGCTCAAGGGCCAAACTGAGGCCAGTTGCATCTGCTGCCCTTCCCTGATCAATAATGTGCCCCAGCTCATCAGGAACCTGTCCTCCCATCAGGTATCTGCTGGACTATCAGTCACAACAAAACCCCATCCCCAAGTTCTGGTCTCTATTCCAGGATCCTGGTCCCCATCCCAAAGCCCTGGTCATCATCCCATATCCCTGGTCCCCATCCCATAACTTTGATTGCCAACCCAAAGCCCTGCTCACCACCTCAAAGCCCTGCTTCCCATCCCATATCCCTGGTCCCCATACCCTTGACTGCCATCCCAAACTCTGGTCCCCATATCAAAGCTCTACTTCTCATCTCATATTCCTGATCCCCATCCTGAAGCCCTGGTTCCCACCCCAGAGCCCCGATCCCCATTCTACACTCCCAGACCCTACCCTGGATCTCTGGTCCTTGTCCCTGCCGCTGCACACCCAGGACTAATCAATCTCAGATCATTGCTTATGAACTTGGGAACAGTGTTGGGATGGATCAGGTGCCACTCAGGGTGAGATGGATAATATAATTAAGATTTCCTCAAAGGTCCTGTCTTTCTTACCTCGTTAATTAAGCTGATGCAAGTCCCTCCATGCAGAATGCATAATGAGAGGCTCCACAGACAGAGCTGTCTGTAACCAGGAGGTGATGTTGGCAGAAAGGAAGCACTGGGGACATTTTGGCAGCCCTTGGGGCTTTGCTTCCCCTGGAGCAGCATCCTCCATCCTCTGTACTGCAAAACCACAAGAGCACACAGGGCAGAAGACACAGGCAGGGATGAGCCTGGGGTTGCAGGAGGAGGTTGGTGATGTTCAGCTTCCAAGAGATGCAGGAAGGAGTAGGACTGGGAAATGCTGTCCCCAAGGCCCAGGCACATTCTGGGTACTTGCTTTTCCGATGGTGAATTATGACGATGAATTAATGGCCTCTTAATAAGGGTGACAGTTCCCTTAATTAGAATGTATCAGAGCGGGAAGAATTGCTTCATTTCATATATTTTTCCCCGTGTAACCTCCTTCACTTTCAGGTTCTCATTTCCAACTCCTGAAGGACTGCAGTGAGCGATGCCCCTCAAAGCCCAAACTCCTCCAGGCAGCACCAAGCACAGAGCAGAACAATTTGTGGGGGGAAACTTGGTTTTGACACATCTCCAGGCTGGTTTGGAATGGGCTGTTTGTAGTGGGTCTCAAGTCAAAAGCCCCAAATCACCAACCTGCAATCAGCCACTTCATTTCCCACCAGGTAATGGCTCCCTGGGGATCATGGAACATCCTGTGCTGGAAAGGACTAGTAAGGATCATTGAGACCAATTTAAGGGCATCTTCACACATTACTGCTCTGTCCCCAAATCCACTATCCTCATCTCACCCCGCTGCCCTGGGCCAGCCCCAGCATCGACCCCCCCAGCTTGGGACAGGCTCCCCAAAGGGCCGATGATGCCCTATAAATAACTAATAGCAGCGCAGCCGTAGGGTTTCTCCATTAACTTCCCCTCTTTGCACCACAGCCATTTTGCTTCCGTGTCCTATCTAAAATTAAATCTGCTCGGATTTTTGCTTGCTCTTTTTCCCCCTCTTTTTTAGCTTGTATTTGCTGAACTCATTCAAGCATAGTGGGAAAAAAAAAAAAAAAAAAGACAGAAAAAAAAAAAAAAGGCTATCAGAATCATTCATGGCTGGCACATGCTCTGGTTTCCAATGAAAGGCCCTGCAGGGCTGGCAGGAGGCTGGGGATGGCCTGGATGGTCATGAGTGATTCCTGCTTTGTTCAGGCACCACACAGGTGGTGGCTGAGCTGCAGGGCTGCGCTCCCCACCATGAGGACAACAGGGAGGGAGCAGTCACCACCAGGGGATGCCTCCAAGGGCAGCGCTGGGTTGGGGACAGGGCCATGGCAGGTGTGTGTGTCCCCAAAATGCACGCAGGTGACTTTCATCACCTTGCAGCAAGTGATGCTCAGTGCACACAGGCAACAGCTGGGCTCCAGTGCCTCCCAGTGCCACTCCTGGGCATCCCAGTGCCCTGCTGTTGGTGATGCTGCTCCACATCCCAGCTCCAGGCTGTGGCTTCCCGTGTTGGCAGCTCACAGCACGAGCTTTGGAGGTGCATCAAGAGCAGAAGCAGGTAAAATCTCCCATCAACGTCATCCCACAGGTTGGATGGTGTGAAGGATGCTGCTGCAGCCTGCTGGGTATTGGAGTTATTCACCAGAAAGTGCATGCTAGCAAGCAGCCCTGTTCTGGGACAGAGGGACATTCCTGGATTCAAGAACCAAGAGTGCCCAGACCCAAACTGCCTCAGCATCCCTCTGCCCCTAGGGAGGACAGACCTGCATTCTAAAATCAAAGAAGTTCCTGCCCTTCAAAGGGATTTTTTTTTGCCCATGTTTTGCATTTTTAGATGCTAGCCAGGTGTAGTTCAGGTCAGACTGGCCCTGGCCAGCAGTGCCAAGCCCCAAGGTGGGACTGTGGAGATTTGTATGAGGGACACCCACCCTGCACACCCACCCCCCAGAAATTGGGAAGTGTGTGCATATGGCAGCACTGCTGCAGCACCTCCAGGGCAACTGGGGGCAACAGGGCTCTGTCCTGACACGGATGTGGCCTCCTCGTAGCACAGAGTGACATGTGCTGCAGCCATGGGCTCTGCATCCCTCCTCCATGAGCCACTGTTTGGCAATGCTATGATGCAGGATGATCACGATGGCTTCCCACGAGCACACAAAGGATGGCAGTGCCGTGGCTGCACAGCTCCTCTGTGCCATGGCCACCCCCCCCCCCATCCTCCTCCTCCTTGCTTTGCCCTTCCCAGCCAGGCTCTCACAACTCTACGCCTGGAAAACAAGAACAAAAAGGCGCTTCTCAGCATCTGTTCCACATTTGCTGTTCTTTTCAAGTTAATTCCTCAGCCCCCTCCCCTTCTCTGAGCATGGCCTGAAAATAGGAACTGTAGCTGTTGTACTATGGTATTATTTAGGATTTCTGTACCTTGCTCAGCCACTGGCCTCTCTCCAAACCCATCCATGTTTGGACTGCAGGACCGCTCCCTGTCACCATGCACCACGTGCTGCAAAACTGTGCTTGGCCAGTGCAGAAAGCCGGACTGCGACAGAGAGCCTCTTCTGAGCCCCTCTTAACATCCCTCAAGCTTTGGGGCTGCAGCTCTGCCACTGTCGCCCTCAGCCATGCCATATGTGTGATGGCACTTGAAGGGACGCGGGTGCAGTTTGCAGCCTTGCACCGAGGAGTTGTGCAGTGGATGTGCATCAGCCCCATGGCAGCTCCACAGCTCTCCCCGCTGCAGGGAACGGAGCTCCCT